ATCCATCCATCCAGCTCGCTCTATCTATCTATCTATCTATCTATCTATCTATCTATCTATCTATCTATCTATCTATCATCTATCTATCATCTATCTATCTATCATCCATCCATCATCTCCCTCCCTCTCCACCTTCCTATCTACCTATCCATATGTAAGATTAAATAAAAGATCATAAGCTTCCAAGCTATAAAATGCTCTGTGTTGTCAAACTAGGGACACAGTGAATGTGGGATACCTGATGCCCTCTATGCTTGGTGGCTTTCTTAGGCATTTCATTACCAAACTAGGTAACGTTATCAGTGCTAGTGCACCGATGATGTTACCTAGCTAGCACTGATGACGTTTCCTGATTTGGAAGAAGTCTTTCATTTTGGACTTCAATGTCATTTTAGCCACCTTGAGGGTTTTTTAAAATAAAAATAATAAAGGCGGGATACTAATTAATTAATTAAATGCTTTTATTCAATAACTCTTCTAAGCCAAGTTGCCGTCTTTTATTTATTTATTATTTCTTTGTTTTATTTGTTTGTATGTATCCTGCCATTATTTACAAATACTCAAGGCGGTGAACACATCCAGCACACTTTCCTCTTCCTGTTTTCCTCACAACAACAACCCTGTGGGGTGGGGTGGGCTGAGGGAGAGGTCCAAAGTCATGGTTTTTTTTAATAGGACTTGAACTCATAGTCTCCTACTTTCTGGCCTGGTACCTTAACCACTAGACCAGACTGTCTTTTCATAGAAGCTCAACAATTTTAAATCACTTTGGGAATAAGCTGTCCTTTTTGCTAACTGTGGGCAAGCTTGGGTATCCAATGAGCAATTTTTCCTCCTTGGTTCACCTTGCTTTTCACTAAGTCTTAGCTGGCGTGAAAGAGAACTCATAATCAGACTACAAAATACGTTTAGGCCAATATTTCCTTAGCAAGATCCAACAAAATCTGTTGTCTGTTACATTATTGTCTTAGAATTAAAACTCTGGAACTAGAGGAAGAGAAAGCCTTGGTAACAATGATAGAAATCTATGATGCCCGTCCAGATTTAGTAACATATTCCTCACGTTTCCTTCACTTTTGTCTTTTATATCTATTATTTGTTTCCAGGAGAAGCATAAACTTGAGTTGGAAGAGTTAAGAAAAGCTGGACACGAGGCCCTGTCTATTATTGTCGAAGAATTCAAGGTAACAGTCCATATTCTTTTCCAGGGTTTGGAATTGGTTTCTAAATCCATTTCTGATTGTAGGAGAGATTTCTCGCTTGCAAGGGGCAAACTAGAAATTGTTTGTTTTTTGTAGCCACTTCCTTAAAGCTGTTTTTGTAGGGAGATGGTTAAAAAAGGTAAGTTTAAAAGAATATGTTTAGGGATATCAAGCAGATGACCTTTCTGCTCTGAATAATGGAAAGGAAGTCCCCTTCCAGGAAATGATGATGATATACCTGGAACCATCTGTTACTTCAATCTTCAGAAAAAGAAGACTTTTTCTGGTTGTCTGTAAGGATTCTCAATCATCCAGGTCATGGTTACCCCAAAGATAAGGGGGATAGCAGTACTCCAGTATTTAAGAGGCTGTGTTCTGACCAAGGCTTCCTGAGACACCGACAAACACACGTTAAATCCAAAACCCTTTTATTTTAGTTCAACGGCTGTGAATTGTCATCATTCACAGCCTGTAATGAGTCTCAACCAGTTATAAATAATCCCATGGAAGTCTGCCAAAGTTCTTCGGGAGAAGTCTGATAACAACACACCTTTATCTTACTTGAAGTGCTGCCAATGACTAAAGTACCGATTAGTCTTTCAAAACCCAATGGAGCACAAATTCACCATGGAGCTTTCAGGTTCCAAACCGACCAGAGTGAACAATGTTGCTTCCTGCAAAGGTTCTGTCCCTTTGCACCTTATGGGAGGGGCAATCACTTCCAAGCCTTGCTCCCGAGTCGGCCCTTTTGTCTTAACTGTTCTTGCCTTCTGGCAGCTCTGCGCATGCACGCACTGGGAACAGGCTCCCCTTGTTCCTCTGCCTCACTTCTGTCAGATTCTGGAGGCTCCGGAGTCAGCACACAATTCCCAGATGGCCCTGGCCCCATCTCTGTATTGGATGCAGGACCCTTGTCCGAGTCCTCCCCAGACTCCCAGACTGGCCCATGTTCCTCCCCACTATCCAACTCTGCTGCCATCTCCACAGGCTGCTGGTGGACCACAACAGGCTGCCACAAAGAGAAGGGGATCAACTTATTTTCCAAAGCACCAGAGGGCAAGACATGAAACAATGGGTGGAAACTAATCAAGGAGAGGAGCAACTTGGTATTAAGGAGAAACTCCCTAACTGAGGACAATTAACCAGTAGAACAGCTTGCCACCAGAAGTTGTGGGTGCTTCATCACTGGAGGTTTTTAAGAAGAAACTGGACAGTCTCTTGTCTGAAATGGAATAGGGTCTTCTGCTTGGGCAGGGGGATGGCCTAGATAAAAGACCGCCAAGCTCCCTTCCAGCTGTATTCTGATTCTGATTCAGAGATTTTTTCCCCCCAAAAGGCAACTGATTTTCTTGGTTTTTCTTTGAAAATGTTTCACTTCTCATCCAAGAAGCTTCCTCAGTTCTAATCCAGTGAGAACCCAGTTAGAAATGAAGACGCTTCTGGGATGAGAAGTGAAATGTTTTTTGGGGAAAAAAAACCTCCCATGAAAGCCCAGTTGCCTTTTGGAAAAAGCACCTTTTCTCCTGCAACCAAACACTTTTTTTCTCCTGCAACCAAGATGGTGGATTGGTTAGAATCCTGGAGTAATCTGTCTCCCCCCCCCCCTTTCAATTCTGGCTGTAAAAAAAAACTGGGCAAGGATGTGGAACATGCGGTCACTCGAACACCAGGAATCTGGGAAACCAAACTAACTATTTAGGGCAGCCTTTTATTATGGTCACTGACCAGGGCAAACTTAATTGTTGGAGTCTACGCAGTCTGGCTTTTAACTGCTGGAGTCATACTTGTGGAGAATTGGGGCAGAAAAAAGAAGATAGCAACCCTGGAATATTTTCAGCGGCATTTTAGTATCGTGGACCATGGTATCCCTTTTGCGCTGGCGGTGTTGATTCCTAAGGACTAAATCACTGAAAGTAATGTTGGGAAATTGCTACTTCATCCCTTGGCTTGCAGCCTGCGAGGAATCACACTGGATAATATCTGCATGATTGGTCATCTGGGATTTGAGCTGAAGTGACATCAGAGCATGAGTCATACTGCTTGGCCTCTGCCTTTTCTCTAATCCATTGTTTCTCAACTGAGGCAACTTCAAGATGAGTGGACTTCCACTCCCAGAATACTTCAGCTAGCCATGCTGCCTGGGGAATTCTGGGAGTTGAAGTCTACCCATCTTCAAGCTGCCACAGTGCTCTAATCTCAGAAGGATTGCAAAGGACCAAACTGCTATCTAACCATACTGTAGGAAATGACCAGACTGAGCCTGGAGAGAGGGGTCAAACATGTCATTAGTTTGGAATCCCTCTTTGCCCACAAGAGATCAAAGCTTTCCATGAATTCCACTGACTCTTAGCAATTTGTTTTGACCATTAGTAATTCCAATTCTTGTTTAGAAGTAGCATAGAATAAACTTGTATTTATTTGAGCACAGATCACAGAACGCCTAGAATAATGGATTCCAGGAATATTAAGAGGGAAAATCCTAACAAGAAGGACATGACAGTGGAATCAATGATCCAAAATGCTGAGGCTTAAAGGAGCATCCCAGAGCCCTTTCAGCTCTACAATTCCATGCCTCCTTTGGTACCGCTGTGATCTTTAATGCCAGACAGCTGGCACAGTGGTGTTACCTAAATTTTTCACACCTAAATTTTAAGGCTGGTGTTGGAATCCTGATGGTTATTTCTGCAGACATCTGTTTAATATTGTATCTCTTTGTCAGGGAAATGTATGTTCATCGTAGCTGTGCAAAGATAGCTGAAACGGTACAGAACATTCTGCCCTCTTTATATACTCCTATTTAGTCCTTCTACCTTATTATCATGTGCACCATACCAACTTATTAAAGCGTATGCAATAATCCAGTCATCAGCTATGAGTCCCTGTGCGTCCATGAAATCTAAATCCATCCCATCTTGAATTCTTTCTTAACTCCCACTCATTTAAACTGCCTGAATCTCCTGATTTCCCCAGCACTCAACACCCAGAAAATAATCTTCTGCTTGAGAACTTCAGCTCATGAAAGCATCTGCCTTTTAATAAAATTGGTTAGTTGGGAAAAGGTTCTACCACATTCCTGGTTTTTTTTTTTTTTTTTTTGCTACCTTGCATTACACTGATGCAGTTCTCACCTTACCGTGCTAACAAATCCTAAATTGCTGCCAATCTATTTCAATCTATTTGAAGATCTTTTCCAAGGCCTTCCTGGCTACTGTACCAAGTGCTAATCTACAGCACAGCTAAATGTCTATGGAGATTCTCAGTCATCCAGGTCATAGCTGTCCCAAAGGTGCTTTTTCAGGAGGCAACTGGACTTTCTGGTTTTTTTTCTTTGAAGACGTTTCGCTTCTCATCCAAGAAGCTTCTTCAGCTTTGACTGGATGGTGGGGAAATGGAAGGATTTATATTGCTTGCAGACAGCTGGTCATTGTTCTGACTAAGGCTTCCTGAGACCATAATTAAGCACGCACTTAGTCTAAACAACTCTTGTTTTATTCCAACACTGGGAATTATGTTCATTCCCAGACTGTAATGAGTCCCAAATAGTTCCTTGAGATAAGCACCCACCTTTCTCTCATTTGAACTGCTGCCAACAACTAAAATGCCAATTTAACTGTAAAAAACAAACTGAAGTACAAAGTCCACACAGAGTTTCAAGGTTTAATCCGAACAGAGGGAACAACTTTGCTTCCTGCAAAGGTTTCCCTACCTTTGACCTCCTTTATACCTTAGGGGAGGGGCAATCACTTCGAAGTCTTACTCCCAAGTCGCCCCTTTTGTCTCAGCTGCTCTTGCCTTCTAGTAGCTCTGCGCACATGTGCACTGGGAACAGGCTCTCCTTGTTCCTCTGCCTTGCTGCTGACAGATTACGGGGGCTCCGGAGGCAGCACCCCAATCCCAGATGGTCCTGGCCCCATCTCTGTATCAGATGCACGACCCTCGTCCGAGTCCTCCCCAGACTCCCGGACTGGTGCCCATTCTTCCCCACTGTCCAATTCTGCACAGGCTGCCAGCGAAGCACAATAGTCATTTGCATCCTTTTAGAGTGTCATTGAGGCCACTTGGAGGCTTATCTGTGTCCTCAGAGTCATGCAAATGGGTGTGGAGACTTCTTGGACCAGGTGCCTGCAAGGAATATAAATCCTTCCATTCCCCGCCATCCAGGCAGAGCTGAAGCAGTTTCTTGGATGAGATGTGAAACGCCTTCAAAGAAAAACACGAAAGTCCATTTGCCTCTTGAAAAAAAACCACCTTTGAGACTAGCCTGCAGCATGTTTCTTGACTCCTGCTTCTCTTTTAAAAATGATGGCAAAGCAAATTTTATGTGGAAGAAATCTTGCTGTCTGTCAGCGAAGACAGAACCAGAAACTCTCGAGGTATGTATGAGCGATTAGGATGGAGAATGTCTTATAGCAACATATAAATAGTAAGGCCTCTTTTCATAATCCCTTGAAAGTAAATTGTTCTGTGAGATGGGAAATAAGTTCATGTTAATAAACGTGTGGTCCAAAGCCTCCTTGGATATATGAAACCAGCTGTGAAGTTATTTGGATTCTGCCTATATTTCTTTCTTTTTTTTTAATCTCTCATTGCCAAGTTCAGAATCCAGTATAATGGCACATTTTAAGCTTACTTTGCATAGAAGATGCTGTTTGCGTAGCTTTATTCCACATCAGGCTTTCGTTTCCATCATTAATAATTTTTGTGAAGAATTTTCCAAAGGAAATACTAGCTGAGCTGAAGTAACATTTCTAGAAGCTTTAGCAACATGTCTAAATAAGAGCGGAAAAAAAGTTCAGAAAAACTTAAGTGAACATCTTGTTTTTATTTATCCCACTTAAAACCAGCAACGGACAGACAGACACACAAATGCAGAACCCCAACTTGGCTCGCTTGTATTTGCGTTTTCTAAAAATAACAGAAAAAAAAAAACCCTTGAAATATGCTCGAGCTGATGTCTGCTTTCATGGGAAGGCCAAAAAAAA